AACAAACACTCACGTCAAATTTCGTTTCGGCAAAAACTCATACTAAATATTTTTCGATTCTTCTGATTTTCAATAGGGTTCATCCTTGGGTGATTACGAACACTCATACCAAGTTTTGTCAAAATCCGTCAAGAATTGTGTCTTGTAGAGTGTTTACGAGCAATTGTGGACGGACCGACGGACGGACGGACAAGGGTGACGGCAATATACGCCCCCATTTAGCGCATAAAAAGGTACCAAGGCATAGAAATTCAAGATGGCTGTCGTTACTAAACATTAAAATACCGTAGTTACATTTTTAAACCTCTCATACAAAATATAGTTACCCAAAAAGACAATTACCCAATAAAAACCCCAAACACACATACCTGTGAAGTTATTTGAAGGAAATAACTTATGTTAAAACAGGATGAAGTAGTAAGATCACCAAGTCCAGAAAGGTTGAAATTAAGCTGATTACTACTTCAAAGACTAAGATAAAAATAAGTTTCTGACCGGATAGGTGATGAAACTCACTGACAACTCACTAAGCTGACCAATGACAGAAGGTGACAAGGTCCAGTGAGGTCAGTTCAGGTAAGAGACTAAGAGAGGAGAATAATAAGAACATTAGTATTAGGCCAGTGTAAAGTAATTATGTGCTTATTAAATCAGTAGTGGTGCTTAAGATAAGACGACATTTAAATAAAACGCCCAAGTTTCTTTAAAAATGCACCCTGCCACAAGAATCCTGAAAGTATAAAAACATTTTCATTTCATCAATAGAGTTGTAGATTCAGAACATATTGTGCGATTCAAATATGGAAGGCTATTAATATGGTTACTATAGCCGAACAAAAATTCCTACTACAATGATTTCTGAATCGAATTTTGGCAATCATTTTCGAACTAATTGAAAGATTAATTACAAAAAAAATACTGAGAGTCTTAGATTGTCTTTAGGTTGATGAAAATGTTAACCACTGGAAAAGTCATTTTTTGTAAACATGATTTTACAGAGGGGAATTTTCAGTCCTAAGAGTAGATCGTTTTCTCGTGAATTTTCTAAGAGGGAAGTGTGTCAATTTCAAATGTATAATCACTCAACCTTATATTTCTATGGACCCGAAGACAATCTAAGGTCAATAGCACAAAGTTTAACATTTTATTTTGAATATTTATGAAATGAGAAAAAATTCAATTCAAAGCAGGCTCAATATAGTCAGACAGTAAGTAACGTACCTATAATAATCGTAATTATGTAAGATGAGCCTGGGGTCAAGAACTCTAGAATTATTTCGACCACAGGGTTTTTGAAAATTACAAACATCCGATATAGCTTGAAAATGTGAGGTGGTGGAATTCTTTCTTACTCTATTTCAAACGTGCCGAAAAGTGACAGGGGGTTGTTCTAAGGCAGTATCTCTTCTTTTTCTGTCGGTTTAACCAATGGTCGCAGATATACCTTCAGTCTTCGCTGATTATTTATGCTAATTTTCTGAATTATATAGAACTGAAAAGCGAACTTTCGTGAAACGGTGAACTTTTAGTGAAATGGTTAACTTTCGTGAAATCTCGTGAATTTTCTAAAACCCATGAACTAACGTGGTATTGTGAAACCAGAACTATAGCAAACAATCGTGAATAAATATTTATGAACTGTGAGGACCGTGAATGTGAACAATTTTTATTCAATATCTTCATTTCAAACATTTTATTGTTGAAAGATTTGAGTTTTATTTGCATCTTGCATGTATGTTTTCTTTTGCATGTATGATTATTCTTTCCAAGGCAAGGATTAATGTTTTAAGTTTGAACATGTTTAATATTCTTTTATTATTTCTTATAAGGTATGTTATGTTCAAAAATGCCAATGTGTCAAATATCGTCGACCCGCGTGACAAATAGCTCATGCCGTTATTAGTACTGAGTATAGAAAGTCTGGTTAATCCCGTCCTGAGTCAAGTATATTATAGTTAATGCATTGTGACTTGATATTCGGGTATAGGTCGCCGTTGCTTGGTAACAGTGGGCATGATAGGATTATAAGCACATGGGAAAAATGGTTGAAAATTTGTGGTCCAAAGGGAGCCAGAGCCATAAAATTTTTTACCGCAGCGTATCGCACCGCACCGCACCGTACTGTATTGTAATGTATCGTATTGCATTTCATTCATGTTAAATGATTTTATATTTTGTGACAATACACTTTGAATATACAGAACTGTGTGATATTTTCTTATCCCCATGGCGCGTAACTAATGTATAGTGATGTCATCTCTTTTGGACCCAACATCAATAATCCATTTCCTTTACTTGCACCAATTTTCATCGAGATGTTGAGAGTATTCCTGAGCTCATTAGAAATCAACAGATCTGGTAACAGATTAAGTTACTTCCAAACCTCAGCCATTTTTTTTCACATGCCAAAAATGACAAAATATTTTTTTTTGAATGGGAGATGTGGGCCTTGGATACGTGGACTCAAAATATGACATGACTTGTTATGATCATAATTTCGCGGTACCCCACCTTTAAATTACTACATGCACTCAATGAACTTTTTTTTTTGTCCCCAAAAAGCCAAAATGAGAGGTTTACTAGCTACACAATATATCTAAAATAAAGTGCTTACACAAAGTAAAAAGCTTTGCAACTATATCTTTGAACAAAAAACTACAATATCTCGATCTTACTTTCTGATATTAACCATCGTTATTCCAATTATCTGTCGTTTTCTTCAGACATATCTAATGGCGGACACAAAATAGCGGACGTCAGCTGTTTCACCCACTCAATAAAATGGCATAAAAATGCATCCCACCTTTCAAGATATATTTGAAATGAACTGAAAATAACTTTATATAATTAAATGGTTTCTCACGCTTCCTCCACATATAATTACCTCGAGAAAAAACCTTATTTTCCTACCTCAAATTGAATTTTTACAAGACAGTGTTTCACTTTGTTTACGTTTCGTCTTGCACATTTGACCATATATTCTTTCGCCATTTTGAGAACTTGATTAATTATTGACAAAAGATAAAAGTTAATTATTGCTATAAAATTAACTTTAATATCTTGCAAATAAATGTCAAATTAACAGAGATCCATCATATCTTTTCAAAATATTATCAATTTTTGAGGGGACTATTTTCTGCTCGTCACCACTTCCGGAAGGGTAATTAGGTTCCAGCTGAAGCCAAATTGTGTGTTTTCAAGCCAAGTTCAATTAATCTGTAGAGTGTCATACATTGGGTTTTTAACTAAAACAACAATTTGTTACGTATGGAATTGAATATGTAAGAACCACAGTTGAGAATTTATGAAAATAAGGTGAGTAAAACGTTTTAATTTCCTAGCTGTAAGCTTACATTCTTAGAAGTTCCTGTCTATTCTATCTCTTCTTGGAATCAGCACAAAAAACACAAGGATCCTACAGTATTTGCAGACCAGGACAAGAAACTGCAACTTCAAATTGCGGAATTAAACACCATCATCCGCAATTTGAATTTGACCATTGGAAGCCATTCACCAAATTTCAATGTAGATTTGTATAAGGTCTCAAGACACCGAAAAAACACCACCACCACATAAGTTCGTCGTGTCTACACATTCAAATTTTACAAGGACGGCATTCATCCTGCAAATCTGTTGGGTCAAGTGTGGATGAGAAAATTGGCAGACCAAATTATCAGGGATTGTTGGCAGTAAATAGCCTTATTCTTGCACATAGACAGAGCTGACACTTGCAGGGTTTATGTGTACAGCATTTGCTAAGTGAGGGCTTACCTCGCTTGGTTTATTGTTTGTATTGCACACACTCCTGTCTTGGCCTTCATCTCATCTTGATTTTGGGAAGTCACCAGTTGCCAATTTGCAGTTGTACTTCTGACACTTGCAGGGCTTATGAGTACAGCATTTTTTAAGTGAGAGCTTACCTCGCTTGATTTATTGTTTGTATTGCGCACACTCCTGTCTTGGCCTTCATTTCATCTTGATTTTGGGAAGTCACCAGTTGCCGATTTGCAGTTCTACTTCTGCCACTTGCAGGGTGTATGTGTACAGCATTTGCTAAGTGAGGGCTTACATCGCTTGATTTATTGTTTGTATTGCACACACTCCTATCTTGGCCTTCATCTCATCTTGGTTTTGGGAAGTCACCAGTTGCCTATTTGTAGTTCTACTTCTGCCACTTGCAGGATGTATGTTTACAGCATTTGCTAAGTGAGGGCTTACTTCGCTTGGTTCATTGTTTGTATTGCACACACTCCTGTCTTGGCCTTCATCTCATCACAACTACAAATGGGTGTAAATCGTAAACGTAGACCCCAAAGGTTCAACAAGCCTCCACCAAACAATTCTTGTAGGCGTAAAACTAATCCACACAAGATTAAACTGAACAAAATTCAAATTATTGAATCAAGGTGATTTGAAGTTGAAATTCAAAAGATTGCCTGAACCATCGCTAGATGGCTACAGGATTATCAATTTGGATCAGCTTCAAAATCATGTTTCGGATATAACAATGCATGCAGCATTATGTGAGAAGGCTCAGATTTATGCTCTTCATAATCGACCAGTGGTTAAGTTAGTGACTGAGCGCCAACGCCTTGGACTAGCTTCCATCATTCAGACACAATGTCAAGGTTGTGGCCATCTCTTCTTGCTTCAAACTTTCCACAATATAAAATCGTCTTCAGGCTTGAAGAGATTTGGCATCCCTTTAGGGGAAGTATGGCAACAGGAAGTGGTCACAGTCAATTGGCAGAATGTCTTGGAACCATGGGCATTCCAACCATGTCACAACCTACTTTCACAGCAATAGAGCATGAGATTGGTACCTGGTGGTGTAATGCCTTGAAGGAGGATATGAAGATAGCTGTAGCTGAAGAAAAAACCCTGGCCGAGGCTCGAAATGACTACTTTTGTGACATTCCTGCTGTGACAGTGGTGATGGTGGATGGAGTAAGCGCAGTCACAAGCATACATACAATGCATTGAGTGGTGTTGGAATAATTATGGGTCTTGCAACACGGAAATTGCTGCATATTGGAATCAGAAAGAAACATTGTTATATTTGTGATTCTGCCAAAAATCATCATATGGATCCAGTGGAGCACGAGTTTTTCAAAAATTGGGAGGATTCAAGCCAGGCAATGGAATCCGATATAATTGTTGATGGTTTTTTGAATGCAGAGCAAGACCATAGCATTCGCTATATGCGCATTGTTGCAGACGGTGGCAGTTCTGTATTTGCTCGCATACAAGAAACTGTTCCTATTTGGGGGCCTCATGTTTCCAAATTGGAATGTGCCAATCATGTGTGCAATTGTCTTCGAAGTAGTTTAGAGAAGTTAGTGGACCGATTACCATCTTTAAAAGGGAAAAGTAAACTTACTCTTGCTACTCGAATTCGCATTGTCTCTGCTGTAAGATGCGCTATACGTATGCGGTCATCTGATGGTCAAGACCCAAGAAGGACCAGGAAATTAGAACACGACATCAAGAACAGCATCTTCCACATATTTGGAAAACATGACAACTGTTCAGAATTTTGTCTCAAATCTGCTGCTGTTTCAAACAACATACCATCAACCTATTCAGTAGCTGCAGATGAAGAGAAAGATTCTGTAATATCTGTTCTTGATGACCAGATGCAATTTTGGAGTGATGGTGTCTCACTACAGTCTCAAGAGGAGTCCAGAGTTGCTGTTGAACACCGTGACCTAACACCTATCCAAACCAACATCGTTAAGGAGGTTCAACCACTTTTAAACAGGGTTGCAGCCAAGGCTGGAAGATTGTTGGGAAATTTTACTACCAACCTTGCTGAATCTTGGATGCACATCATGTCCAAGTTTGATGGTGGAAAATTTTACAACCGCTGCCACCGTGGTTCTTGCAATGCTAGGTGTTATGGCGGAGGTCTGAGACAAAACTTGGGCCCTAAGTGGTCACCAGAAGTGTGGAAAGTGTGACTGGAACATCGACATTGTCAGCTTTCAAATGCCTATATAACACTAGGGAAAGAAAAGTTCAAACTGGCCGTCTTCTTTCTGCTCGTCCTGTTGTCAAGGCTAGACGATGGAAACGCAAGTCTGCTGGTAAATGTAACACACAAAAAGCTGAGCATGAATATGGTCCGAATGCAGTCGATGTGGTACCAGATTTTTCTCAAGATGTGTTGGCAAAAAAATGTGACTCTATCAAGAAAACATTGTGGTAATCAAACATCAAGGCCAAGAAATAATGTCGAAATCACAATTACAGTCCAAGTCAGACCTTTGGCATGTACAAAGACAAAAACGTCTAACATCTTCTAATTTTGCTGCAGTCATCAGAAGGAATGCCAAAATAAAGACAGAGCCATTAATTAGAAGATTGTATTCTGATTTCAAGGGCAATAAATTTACAGCTATGGGTTTGGGTGCTGAGAAGGCCACAATTGTCGAATATTGCCAACATATGGAGTCCAAGTTGAAGCTGCAGGACTTTGTATTTGCCTAGAACATCCCTTTCTTGCTGCTAGTACAGATGGAATTGTTAGATGTGGAACAACTGGTGAGAGAGGTTTGCTGGAGATCAAGAATGTTTTGCTAAATAAGAAGTTAACATTTCCTGAAGCCAATAAATCTGTGGCTGGATTCTGTCTTGGCAGTGGGAAAGGAGATTTACACTTGAAGACAAATCACAACTTCCATTCGCAGGTTCAAGGTCAGAGTATTTTTGGTTTTGATTGGGTAGACTTTGTTGTCCGTTCAACTAGCCCGCGCCAGCTTCATGTCGAACGGATATTCAAGGATTCGAATCTATGGGAAACCAAAATTCTACCAAAGCTGACAGCCTTTTACCACAAGTGTCTGTTGCCAGAACTGGCAGCTCCCAGATATGGAAAAAGTCCCGGAATTCGTGAACCTGGTGTCTGGGTAGGTGTTGCTGCTTTTAAAGCATGTCTGATGTATTGTCTTGCATTTTGCACAAAATCTAAAAAGAGTAGGCTTATGTCCTGGCTCAATTTTCCTCATTGCACTCTGCATTACTTTGTCTATCTTCATTAGTCCAGTGAGGTTAAGTGCCAGATGAGTAGAAAGTAGCATTCCATTAATTTCAATTTGATGACACTGTCACTAGATATATTATTCAGATTCAGTCTTCTTTCCAGTTCAGTGACAAAGCTCAAAGCCATCGCAACCACTTTTACCATTGCCAGCATCCACTTCATCTGCATCAATCAAAAAAAGTTGCAGAAGTAGCAAAAAAAAGTTTGTTGGGCGACAGATCTGTCATAAATGGAAAGTGGATGATTCATCTTGTAAGTAATTTCATGTATTATAGGCCTACAGTGCAGCTTACAGTTTTATGCCGATTGTGTTCTCATGAATTTTCTAGTAACTCCGATAAATATTCAAAATAGCTGTATAATGAAAAGATGTTTTCACTTGACAAATAATGAAATGGAATGGAAGTAAACATAGCCCAGGTTTCCAAATTTTTCTATAGTTTTCCCCCCGATGTTATAGATAATTTTGAAATGAAATAGATTCATTATCAGTAAATTTCATGTAGCTTCCATTGTCTTGAGTACTGGTACTGGTTCTGTTCTGCTTTTCTTTTTTTTTTATAAACTTGAAGATGAAGTAAAAATATCAGCAAAGGGATATAACTCTTTGTGATATTATATTGCTCTCAAAAGAGAAAAAAATGAGTTTGCACTCATTTTCTTAGTATGATATCTTCATTTGTCAGATTTCAAACAATCATTTTTAAATCATTAGGCGTTACAATTCAGATGCGATGTTAAGTCAGTCTCTTATAGGGTGATACAATTTTCTGTGTAATTACCATTTATGGCTATTGCTTGAGTGAAAATGTGATACTATATTTTATTGTGGATTATTGAAAAATAATCTTTGAAAACTTCTTTCATTTTAATCTGAAAAGATTGACATTTAAACATTGCTGTTGAAAATGGCAAGTCTCTAGATATTCTTCTTGGCACAAAAGAGGCCAAACTTATGTCCATCACTTGTTTTATAAAATTTGCCAAATTTGTCTAAAACAAGTTTGAAATTGGACAATTAACAGATCCATACATTGCAGACACATTTAAATGGGATAGAGGGAGTGTCATATCTGGGAGAGATGGCGAAGTTGGTATTGTATATGATATATTCTACCACAGTGAGGATGAGACCTATACCATAGACCATCTATTTGAGGACTACACTGAAGGGTTTGTAGAATTTATAGACTTCTAGAATGGACAATACTAGTGCTTAGTGCTTAATTGCTAATTTCGACTTCATACTGAATAGACAATACTAGTGCTAATTGCGACTTCATACTGAATAGACAATACTAGTGCTATTTGCGACTTCATACTGAATGGACAATACTAGTGCTAATTGCGACTTCATACTGAATAGACAATACTAGTGCTAATTGCGACTTCATACTAAATAGACAATACTAGTGCTAATTGCGACTTCATACTGAATAGACAATACTAGTGCTAATTGCGACTTCATACTGAATGGACAATACTAGTGCTTAGTGCTTAATTGCGACTTCATACTGAATGGACAATACTAGTGCTAATTTCGACTTCATACTGAATAGACAATACTAGTGCTAATTGCGACTTCATACTGAATAGACAATACTAGTGCTATTTGCGACTTCATACTGAATGGACAATACTAGTGCTAATTGCGACTTCATACTGAATAGACAATACTAGTGCTAATTGCGACTTCATACTGAATAGACAATACTAGTGCTAATTGCGACTTCATACTGAATAGACAATACTAGTGCTAATTGCGACTTCATACTGAATGGACAATACTAGTGCTTAGTGCTTAATTGCGACTTCATACTGAATGGACAATACTAGTGCTAATTGCGACTTCATACTGAATGGAAAATACTAGTGCTAATTGCGACTTCATACTGAATAGACAATACTAGTGCTAATTGCGACTTCATACTGAATGGACAATACTAGTGCTAATTGCGACTTCATACTGAATAGACAATACTAGTGCTAATTGCGACTTCATACTGAATAGACAATACTAGTGCTAATTGGGACTTCATACTGAATGGACAATACTAGTGCTAATTGCGACTTCAAACTGAATAGACAATACTAGTGCTAATTGCGACTTCATACTGAATGGACAATACTAGTGCTTAGTGCTTAATTGCGACTTCATACTGAATGGACAATACTAGTGCTAATTGCGACTTCATACTGAATGGAAAATACTAGTGCTAATTGCGACTTCATACTGAATAGACAATACTAGTGCTAATTGCGACTTCATACTGAATAGACAATACTAGTGCTAATTGCGACTTCATACTGAATAGACAATACTAGTGCTATTTGCGACTTCATACTGAATGGACAATACTAGTACTAATTGCGACTTCATACTGAATGGACAATACTAGTGCTAATTGCGACTTCATACTGAATAGACAATACTAGTGCTAATTGCGACTTCATACTGAATGGACAATACTAGTGCTTAGTGCTTAATTGCGACTTCATACTGAATGGACAATACTAGTGCTAATTTCGACTTCATACTGAATAGACAATACTAGTGCTAATTGCGACTTCATACTGAATAGACAATACTAGTGCTAATTGCGACTTCATACTGAATAGACAATACTAGTGCTAATTTCGACTTCATACTGAATAGACAATACTAGTGCTATTTGCGACTTCATACTGAATGGACAATACTAGTGCTAATTTCGACTTCATACTGAATAGACAATACTAGTGCTATTTGCGACTTCATACTGAATGGACAATACTAGTGCTAATTGCAACTTCATACTGAATAGACAATACTAGTGCTAATTGCGACTTCATACTGAATAGACAATACTAGTGCTAATTGCGACTTCATACTGAATAGACAATACTAGTGCTAATTGCGACTTCATACTGAATGGACAATACTAGTACTAATTGCGATTTCATACTGAATGCACAATACTAGTACTAATTGCGATTTCATACTGAATGGACAATACTAGTACTAATTGCGATTTAATATTGAATGGACAATACTAGTGCTAATTGCGACTTCATACTGAATGGACAATACTAGTGCTAATTGCGACTTCATACTGAATAGACAATACTAGTGCTAATTGCGACTTCATACTGAATGGACAATACTAGTACTAATTGCGATTTCATACTGAATGCACAATACTAGTACTAATTGCGATTTCATACTGAATGCACAATACTAGTACTAATTGCGATTTCATACTGAATGCACAATACTAGTACTAATTGCGATTTCATACTAATACATTCATAGTCCATAATATGATGACAGTGATGGTGTGTCATTTTGAATGTTTCTGGAAGTGACAAGTACAAATATGATATTTAGAATATTGATCGGATTATAAAACTGGTGCAATGTTGATAGACAAGACTTTGGATTGTCCCCAAAGACAGTTTGATATATTTTAATGTGCTTAATTTGAAGACAAGATCATTTTCACTCTTTTAACAGATATTAGCTGGTCCTAAAAAGGGTCTTTGTTATTTTATACTTAATTTTAAATTAAGACTTTGTTTTAATCTTGATAAGTTTAGTATTCTTAAAAATAATTTTTGTAGTAGATATATATATATATATAGACAAGAAAGAAATACTAGAAAGGAAAATGATAAAGTACAATATTTATGGGTATTTTTTTATCTTTTTGGCCAAAGTCTTATTTGACTCAAAATTCCAAATTTGACCCTTGATTGAGGTGGCCTCCAGGTGATAAGAGTTGGGCAATATGGATTTATATAATGCGATATTTATTTGAAATATATTGGCAAGCAACCTCTTTAGCCCTTATGTACTCAAAAGGTAACTGAGAAGATTTTTTATAGATTAAACATAATACAGTTTATATTTAGATGATTCTCAGGTGTAAATGATATGGGATCCAGATTATAAAAAGTTGAGACCAATTAAAAAGAAACTTCAGGTAAATATGTCTATATTTTTTTTATAATATTTTCCTCTAAAGGAAGCTTATGGAAAGATTTATTTTATGCTTAGCGTTTTTTAGCAAACTTTGAGAGCACCAGTTCAACTACATGGGGCTATTTGTCTGCTATCTTTTTGCAATGGTAGTGGTACAAACAGACCACCATACCTTCATAAAAAAAGTAGTCCCCAAAAACAAAAT